ATTTATTGCTATTGTCCCTTTCCCTCTATAAGAAAATAAGGTCTTCAAGGTGAATGGCTTGGTTTTGTTTACTGCTTTACTCCAGGTACCTAGTACAGTACCTCATAATAGGCATTCAATTAAAGAACAAATATTTAGCTGGGGGGTGGGGGGGCAGGAGCCTCACACCTGTTATCTTAGCTACTCAGAAGGCAGGTATCAGAAGAATCACTACTCAAGGCCCGCCTGGGCAAAAATCAAGACCTATCTCAAAATACCCAACACAAAAGAAGGGCTAATGGAGTGGTTCAAGTGATACAGTGCCTGCCTAGCAAGCATGACACCAGATCAGGCAAAGAAATCAGTGAGGACGCCCACACACAAACACATACCTCCCATCTCAAACAAGAAGCCTATACCCCAGCTGTACGAGAGGCATAGGAAGGCAGGCTCAGGCCAGTCTGGGCAAAAAAGCATGAGACCCTATCTGAAAACTAAGTAAAGCAAAAACAAGACTAGGGCATTGCTCAAGTGCAGAGTGCTTGTGAAGGCCAAGTTCAAACCCTAGTACCAGCAAAAAAATAAGAGAACAAAGCAGGGGTGGGGTGGGGGAAGAGACATACCATTCTAGGTGGGTTTGCCAATGTTTCCCCTCCCTAGAGGAGCAGGTCCATTTAAGGCAGGCATAGCTACCTAAGGAAGATACCTCCTACAATATAAAACTCTGTGGTCTTAAACCAAATTACAGAAGAAATAGATTTTATAGTCAGGTTTGAACTTCCACATGGAAAATGCCAGCTTAACTTACTACTAACACAATTCTGGATAGATCTTATGATATTTTCTAGATACAACCACAAAAGACTATCTATTCAAAGCAGTTTAAATTTAATTGACTTCTTTTAAAACCAAAGAACACCTCACCAAATAATCAAGTCTTCCCCAAGCCAGAAGTGGTGGACAAATTTCTGTCTACCAATGAGAAGCAGGCTTGGCTTAAAGGACATCATAGGTTTGCCATGTCTCCTTACACCCACACATGTATTTCTCCCCCCTATGACAGAGTTGTGATTTACAGATGGTGTTTAGATAGATAAAACAATTCCACAAGCTACCATTATATGACAGATTTGGAAAGTAAAGGTGCCTATGTCCTTCCCAGAGTAATATGGGCTCCTCTGAGTAAAGCTCATCTTCCCTTAAAAGCAACATAGGGACAGGGAAGTCACCCCTATTTAGCAAAGTAGAAACTATGCTCTTAACCTCTGAACTAAATGTTTCATTGTGAAATAAGAAATGAACATCTTTAATACTGGCTCAATCCAGAAAACAAATTTTCGAGATGTGGTTGGTAGAAACACACCAATGTTAAATAGTGTATAATTCCACTGCAGAACTGCCTTTCTGTACTGAATGCCTAAAAACCATGTGCCTGGCTAAGTAAACAAGGAGACAAGGTAAGAAACTGGGGGTTGTGGGGGTTGAGGAGTAGGTCAATCCCAAGAGATCAAGGTGAGTTGCCATGCTCTTCAAGGCCTTCCCACTGTGCCCTGCACTGCTGATGGTGATGTGACTAGAATAAATGGTTGGTGTTCACTAGAAGGTCCTAAGAAGTGGTGAGATCTGAGATACGTACACTTCTGTTACCCCTGTGGTTGTTTTATATATTTTTTTTAATTCTGCACTTGACTGACCATTAAGGTCATTGTGACATAGCAGAGGACCAGCATGAGACAGGCTGGGACAAGTCACATCTCAATTCTGCATTGCTATACAATGACAAAACGTGAAAAATAGGAATGATGGTGCTCTAATTTAATACTGTATTTAGCTGATGATCCCAAATAACACTTTGTCAGCTTTTGTAATCTAGCACAAAACCACATGCCTTGTGACCTACCAGCTGGGCTATGGTAATGCCCTTGACTTGAAGCTTAAAAGCTTTGGTTGGGACATAACTTTGATGTATTGTCTTTCCATATCAAACTGTAATGATTATCCCCAGATCTGTCATCACACAGAGTGCTACCAAAATTAGATTATGGCCAGCTAATAAGACTGCCTCTCCCCTTTGGCACCACCAAGAAAGCTGCTACTCGGCTTTGCCTGCTTGCAAGATCGAAAAGCCAGGGCTGTTTGGTTTATGGGAAGTGGGGAGAAGAACCATCTGCCTGGTCTGGTGTTTCTTTAATTAAAACTTTAATTACAGATATATCTCTGCACAGATACATGCAGTCTACAGCTCCTGTTCTTAATTATCTGTGCTAATGAGAAATGAAAAGAGAGTTAGCATTTGCTGAGTGTCTACTATATGCAAGAACATAACTCAGGTGCTGTAAGGTAAACTAGAGCTGGTAAGGGAGACCAAGACCCAGACCTTGGCCACAAGTTTCAACCTTCTCCTCTACCATCTTCACATCATCACAAAAAAGTTCTCGGCATTTAGTTCTCCTTTGGAAAAATGGTGGATTAAGAAAAAGGATCATCACAGAAGAGAGGAAAAAGGACTAGTCAAGCCTCGATAATCAAAGTATTATGGTAGGTATGTGAATGTCCGTCATGTGGCATGTTTCTGAACATGCCACGTGACTTCCTGCCTGGCAGCAATTTTGATGCTGCATTCTTCATTAACTCCCTTTCTGGCTAGGGCAGATTCTCACTGAGGAATGACAAATATCCTTCCATACCTTCACCATGTGTTTCTAGTCTCTGCAAAAGTTTCAGAAGGTCTAAAGGCAATCAGAAGGGACTCCTAAGGCAGCCACTTCGTACTTGGGCCAATCTGCTGGGGTCTGGGGCCACACACAGAGCTTCCTGACTCCACATTAAGGAGGCCTACACTCGGCATCAGAATCACCATAACCTTATGTCATCTGCTCCTATGAAGGTAGAAACAGGATTACTTTGACTACTTTGCCAACATTTCTGAAGGCAGACAGTTAACTGAAGGTCTCTGTGCTGTTAAGTTTGCTCTATTCTCCATCCCAACATACATTATTGATGTGATGACAGTGGAGGCTACAGCAGCAAGTCCTATAGACTTTACTTCTTCTCAGGAGCAGATTCCTCATCACCAAAAGAGAGGGATTCAAACCACGTAATCAGAGACCTTACAGCATAAAAACCTACGCAGCAGGTATGCAGAACTTTTTAAGCTGGCTCCAAAACAATCCAAGCCTTTCCGAGCACCTTTCCTGTCTACTCAGTGGTTGAAGCCTGGTGTTTCTCGGCCTATCAAAACCTATTCGACTGCCAGGTGCCAGTGGCTCACGCCTGTAATCCTAGCTACTTGCAAGGCTGAGACCAAGAGAATCACAGTTTGAGGTCAGCCTGGCCAAATAGTTTGCGAGACCCCATCTCCAAAATAACCAGAGAAAAAAATGGACCGGAGGTGTGGCTCAAGCACAAAACCCTGAGTTCAAACCCCAGTCTCACCAAACAAACAACAGTGACAACAACAATAACAAAAAACAACACAAAACAAAAAAAAGTGCTATTAAATTACCTAAATTCTCAAAATGAACCCAGCTAGGCTAGACGATCAGAAACAAAACCTAACAGTGTTCAGGCTAATAACGGGTCGTGCCTACCTACCCCACTGGAAAACAGATACGAAGACAAATTAAGAAAGTCCATTTGAAACACCTACTATGTGCTAGGCACATGGAGGATTTCAAGTACTGTACAGTCTGATGACAGATAAGAAAGAGAAAAAGAGGGAGGGCAGAACTATGGAAGAGGAGAACAGAAGGGAAAAGGGACAATAAATTCATAAAAGAAGGGGAGAAATAAGAAAAATGGAAGAAAGCACAGTCTTCTACTTCTTGAACCCTGTAACTAAGCATGATGATCAGTTCTCACTCACAGAGGAATGTTGCAGAACTATGGAGGGACTTTGCCTACAGGACAGATACTGATTAGTGTTGGTTGAACAACTCAACTGGCCCACAGAGACCATTTTAACTTACACAGCAGCCTACTGTAGGATTACTAGCACTGGACCATATTCTAGAAGCACAAATCTGTATGTGTACAAATTATTTATTATTAAAGTCTTCTTGTTTATAAAATAAACTTCCTGAACTTATTAATCCATGGTTCTCTGCTAAAACAAAAAAGATCAGAGTCACAGGGTGGGGCCAGTGTTCCAAGTTTTGAAAAAGCTCAACAAATTTGTAGCCAGGACCAACAGCCTCTACAAGTGCCACACACATAACATAATAACCTTCCTGACAATGGTGGTAGTGAACTATTGGAGTCAGCAACATCATCATATGAGGTCTTTACTAAGCTAGTGGCTATTATGTTAAAATTGTTTCTTGCTGATGAACAGCAAGCACCTGATGGCACACGCCAGTTCTGCAAAATCCTAGGGGTAGTCTGGGACAGTGTAGTTAACCTACCTAGGCACTGGTGTTCTTATGTGCAAAATGGAGTTGTACCCCAACCACCTCCTGGATAAACTGAATGATTACAACATATGGAAAGCACTGGGAACAACTTTAGACATGCAGGATTGTAGTGAGGTCTCTTCCTACTTACTCAAGAGGACACTGAAGCCTCGTATAGCTAAGGCAAACTTCTCAGCAGTTCAATACCCTCACTTCTTGAATGCTAGCTAGACAATTTAACCAATTAAAAGAGAGTAAGACTAACCAGGCAAAAGGTGGGTCTCTTTCCTTGTCTCCATAGTCAAAAATAGCGTTTAAAAAAAAAAAAAAAAAAAGGCAGCTCTTCTCAAACTGAACTTTTCCTTCCTAAAAGATTAGGAAGCCAGGTTTCAATTTACCCATCAACCTGTATCTGTTTTAGAGGCACTTAATTACCATGAACTATGCAGTCCCCTCTAAGCCTCCTAGAGTCTCAACGTCAGTGTGAGAAGACTAAGAGGATGGGGAGTGGGGGTGTTAAGGTGTCATCTTGTGCAAGGTGTGTGTCCCGCTCACAGTGTGCAGGTTTGCCCACACTGCATGCCATCACTGCTCTATGGACCTTCATACATCAACTCCCCTAAAACTCACCATGATCCTTTGAGAGGAGGTGCTATTATTATCATCCCCAATTTAAAGAGGAGGAAACTCAGGCACAGAGAGCTTAGGTAATGTGTTGCAGTCAGGCCACTTGCAAGAGGCCGAGGTGGGATTCGAACCACAGCAGCCTGGCTCCAGAGCCATGGTCCTGGCCCTTCACCACGGGGTGCACTACCACTGCCTCTTGGCACAGTCATAGGATGAGGTTCAGTTTCAAAAGCACCTTTCTTCTGAGTTCCCAGTGTGTTTCATTTATCCTCCCAACAACCCTAAAAAGCAAGTAGGAGACATACAGTATCTGCATTGCACACATGATAAAAATGGAGCAGCATCAATTAAATGTCTTAAAAACTCCTGATCAGCCAAATACTAGTTCACTGTGTTCACACCAAAATTAAAGGCTTTTAAAGTCTTCTGTTTGAGTGCTTTAGTATTGGGTAACTCCTTTAGCATGTACCAAGAGCATACCCAATGACCTTGCTAGTCTAAAGCAAATTTTCTAACTTTCATAAGAGGGGTTTCTCAGTAAATCACAATTATAAAAACAATATCCAGGTGACTTACAACTTACCGGAAGTCTTAAATACTAACCAAATAACCAATGTTCATTGAAAATAAATAATAAATTTATTCATATGCTAGCTCTCTTAGAAAAATTAGTTTATCTTAAAATGTATTAAGCAGAGTACTTTAAAGAAAAATCTAATTGGCCTAATCACAAAATAAAACATGACAGTGAAAACATTTCTCTTCTGTATCTATTAATGTCTCTTCAGCTTTTATTACACTTATAAGTAGTGTTTGACTCTGGGGAGCCTAGCCAACTGACTCTGTCAACAGGGAGCTTGTGACTCTCCAGGGGACAATCAGCTCATCCCTCAGCAAAAGGAGTGGAGCCAACAAGCAGTCTCCGTCCCCTACAGCCTTGTGGTCCTATGAACTGAGTCATTCCTTTGGTTCTTGAAGGATATGGCATCAAAGAAACAAATAAAGGACACAGTTGAGAGAGAGAGAAAAAAAAAAAGTCTTTTGAGATTTGGAAAACATTTCTGCACAACTGCAGAATGCACTGCAATTTAAAAAAAAAAAACCTTAAAACTCAAGGTTCCACAAGGAAGTTGCTCCCAAATGTTGGCACATTTATAATCAGAGGAGCTTTATAATCATAGGATGCTATACCTATGTATATTTCTCCACTCTGTTATTCTACAATTCTGTGAAAAGAAAAAGATACCCAAAAGGCCAAAGGTGCCTTTTCAGGTATGCAGGTATAACAAGCAAAAATAAGCTACAAGCTTGAAATGTTCACAAGAGTTTCGATCGACAATGAACAGCTCACCATGACTAATTTTAATTTGTGGTTCTAATGAATGATATAAACTTTTATAGGTATCAACAAAGCTCAGAGAAGACCTAA